ATATACAAAATCTTGTAGTTTTAATATTTTCCTATCATTTAGGATGACATAAATATTTCAGGTGGGTAGAGTTGATCAATTAATATGGTACTCGCAGCAGAAGAATAATACGAACAAAGTTACACAAAATGATCTTAATAATATACAATTAAACAAAATCTATGTTTCAAAAAATGAATATAGAATTATGTATTTGTAAATATAAAACTGAATTATTAAATACAGAAAATATTAAGTTCAGAAAGCAAAAATTGCTGGAAGCCTAAAAATATACAAGAAGGAAATCAACACAAATTGATAATAAATAATAAAAAAATTTCTGAAGAATTGAAAAATAAGTAGAGAGCACATAAGTAATTCCTTTATTTTCATGTAATTCTTATAAAATTATCAATTGCATCATAAATCAGAATTGTCATCAGGCACTGTTGTTTCAAATTCTTTCATGTATGGTATATCTGTTTCTCTCTTTAATATCATTTGTTCTATTTTTGGTGGCAAATTAACTCCAATTAGTGCAGATATTGCACTCTTCTTGCATGTCCCAGCATCTTTTCGCTTTTTACGTTGTCCTTTTTTGGTTCTCCTTTTTAACTTTTCAGACATATGCAATTTCTGAATATGTTCTGCTAATTTTGCTTTCGTTGAAATTTCTACTTTACATATGTCACACTGAAACTTTTGTCCTAGATGATTTCTTCGTATGTGACTGTCTAAATTACTTTTAAAATGATATACTCTGAGACACTCGTTATATGGACAAGGAAAACTTTTTCTACCCTCTGCATGAATTTTAGAATGTTCTTTTAAGCGATACTTTGTCAAAAATACTTTATCGCAATCCTTGCATGTGTGATCTACAAATAAAGAAAATTTAATGAACTTTACGCATGAAATGATATGCAAAAGGAGTTACTAAATAAAGAAATTCATAAAGAAATTTAATAAATGCGTACGAATAACGTGTTGTGTTCTTTGGTGAACACAATACTGACGCCATTTTGTGAAAACATCGGTACATCCTGATACAGTGCAAGGATAAGTCTTTGTTCCTTCCTGATGACTTTTATTATGTCTTTTGTACTGTCTAAAGTTTGTGAAACTCTTGTTACATTGATCACATTTATGTAACTCGCCAGTATGCACTGACATGTGTGTTGCAAGTTGATACTTTTTGGTAAATGTTAGATTACATTCTTTGCAAGTCAATTTGTCTCGGTCTCTGTGCTTTCGATTATAATGGCGCTTCAAGCTATATCGATCACTAAGGAATAGTAAACATTCAGGACACCTTAAACGGAAGTAAAATAAGATTTGTTAATTAAAGACTTTTATCTAATTAAAAATCATTTAAATGCAAAATTTAAAAACGTATACATATACAGAAAATATCTTTTACTTGTACGTTTTCTTGATCAGATTATGAGTTTCCACATGACGTTTTAAGTGAGAAGAATTTGTGTAGGCTTTGTCGCATCCTGGGTGAGTGCATTTGTAGCATTTCTAGAAGAAAATACAAATTTTGAAAACCACTATATTATATTTGAGAAAGTATAAATTCTAATTACCTCTCCAGTATGAAGTCTAATATGTCTAAGCAATCGAGATGGCCTAACAAAGGCCTTGTCACATCCATCAAATTTACATTTATACTTTTTTTCATCTTTTTTGTCAACATTATATGAAATATCTGGCTGTCCTACCACTATATGATTTTCAATGTCAGATAAAGCAGTATCTGTTCCTGAATTCCTATCTTGTCCCATAGTGTTTTAGATATTTATCTTCCTCATCAAAACAAAACATTATTAGCATTATAAAAATATAATAATTTATTTACTGTATAGAAAAATAGGGAAGTCTCATTTTCCAAAATAAAATTTCTATCTCGAGGCGTAAAGGAAATCTTGATATAAAATATAAGTAATAAATTATCTTAACCTTTTACAATATTTACTGCTGCTTAACTCTGTTTCTTAACCCTTTCACGACTAGCGTCGTCTTTATACGGCAGACACTTTTTGCTTCACTGTGGCTTCCAGTTGGGCCATCGCGAAAGGGTTAATTCGAAATTATTATATCATTGAACGTTATATTACTTTATATTTATAATAAACGAATTATATTTATAAATATACAGTACTTTTACTTCATAACATGTCATTGTTATTCGCACTTATTAGATTTAGTAAAAACTAGTTAAACACGTGTGAGAATCAGCTGTTGAACCACATTGTACTATGTACATATATATATACAATCCTCGCACATTTGATGAATGTATTATCCATGCTGAATGTAGTCAATGTATGTACATATATATGTATATGACATATACACAAAGTTTTTTTTAAATTGAGCATACCAAATCGATGAACCACCACAGTTTGATCAGTTGCAATCAGCTGTTACAGCATTTAGAGAAAAGTACTTTTTAAAAACATTTTTTACAATAGAAATAATAGCAAACTTACATGAATATGTAGTGCGTGCAGAAAAATCAGTGTTATCGAAGTTGCATGATTTTGTGCATTTTGCAAAATAATCTCTAAATCTAATATTCTACAGAAAGGTTAGGTTTGCCCATGTTCGTTTGACAGCACACGAAGGTGAGATCGGATGACAAATTAAAATCACACAAATAGATCAAGAGTTAATGATAGATTCTAGTATACACATATATATGAGAAAAATTTAACTTTCAAGGGATATTTGAATAACTTTGTATATTGGAAGATGCGATGCGTATGAAATTCTACAGGAGGTTAGATCATCATAATGTTTGATGTTAGATTTTAATTATTTGCATTTTATTCATATATCTGTAGAATTTTTGTATATATATAAATATATGCTACTGTAGAATTTGAGCTTCCGTTTCAATAACAATTGGAAATTGTTTCAAATAAAATTTAATTAGATATATA